TCTGCTTTGTTCTTCGATTCCCCTCTCCCTACTTATATATTGCCCCCCTACCCAATACCCAAATTATCCTGTGTCTATTCCCTGCCCTGTGCTCCACCTACCCCTCCCACCCCTATCCCTACCCCTACATCCTAGCAACCAACTAAGAATCCACTTTAGTGGATTAGTATGGGTTTATGCAGAACTTTTTAAAAAGTGAAGTAAACCTTTGATAAAGGCTATCAAGACCATTCCACCTCCTGTGTCCGAATCCAACTGTGCTTCTTAGGGTTTTCAGGGACTGATTTTCTTTGGAAGCAGGTCACCAGCCATTATTTTGAGGTACCCTGCATGGGCTTTGAACCTTCCATCCTTTGGGTAGCACCTGAATGTGTTACCTGCCTGCACTACCAAGAAACTCCTTTGCTAATGTTACAACTCAGGAAGGTCTTTCTCTAGGATGTGGGAGCCACCTTTTGAAATATAAACACTGTAAAGATTTACAGCCTTGGAAACCCTGTGCAGGGTCACTATGAGTCGGAACCGACTCCACGGTACTTAACAACAGCAACTAATGCTGGAGTGAGATGATATCTTACTGTTGGTTTGATTCGTGTCTCTCTGATGGCTACTGATCATGAGCATTTCTCTTTTTTGAAGTTTTTATTATGAATTATGAGTTAGTTTACTTGGGTGAACATTATCTTTACATTCATCTTATCGTATTTTGTTTCATTGCAATGATCACAATCCCCTGCATGCATCATCAAATACTCAAAGGGTACACTCCACAAACCTGCCCCCCACCCGCCAGCTCACAGCCCTTCTCCTTCCCTGAGTCCAGAGTCCCGAGCTGCTCCTTCTGTCCACATCATCATCTCTGCCTCCATCCCTAGTGTCCCTGCCTCCCTGGGCAGGGTCTCTCACTTCGTGTTTCTCCTTTGATGGTTCCAGGGATCTCCATTCCTGGACTGCAGAATCAGCCACTCCCCTCCTTTTGTCATCAAACATTTACATTTAACTTTTCAACACTCATTGTTAGACCTCATAGCAATCATTCCCTATTGAACGACAAGAGTCCTTTTCCCCTGAACTTTTATCAACCCCATTCAGACAGGTTGGAAACTATTCAGTGGAGGTTCTACCTTTCCCTGTATCATCTGGAACTAGGTTCCTTATTGAAAGCTTGTAAGCCAGTCACTTTTTGCCTTTGTAGCCCCCCCATTTTGGGCAGCCAATGTCTAAGTTCCCCATCCCTGTGGACTCTGTGTATCAAGGGAGTGGGAATGATCCTCACTGTAGAGATTTGTCTGCTCCTTTGTCATACTGCATCCACAAGCATAGGTCAAGTTCATCCACTTGTAGTGAGTTACTTTCTTTTTTTTTTTCCCCTCTTCTTTCTTCCTCTAGTCATGTTCTGATCATCCAGCCATTGATGCCAGATCAAATGGGCACTATCTTCAAGTGTGGGTGTTTGTGAGCATTTCTTCATGTGTAGTCTATGAATTACCTGTGATACATTCTGGTTCAATGTTTAGTCAATAATAAGATGGTCTTCTATTTTCTATCTTTGTCGAGAGGTTTTTCTGGCTGTATTTTTAATTATAATTATATTTCCACAACAATGTTAAAAACATAGTTAGGGAAGGCAGCATATGTGGGTTGTAAGTGTGGGCTTTGTAGACAGACTAGATTCTCATCCTGGGTCTTCCACTCCTTACTTAGTCATCCTGGATATCTTTACCTTTGCAAGTCTCAGTTTCTTGAAATGTAAAATGAAGACACCAGTGGTACCCCCTTCAAAGGATTGTTACAAGGTTTAAGTGGGGCAATGTTGCTGTTGTTGAATTACTTCCAACTCATTTTAACTCTGTGCACAACAGAACAAAACACTACCAGCTCCTCAGTCATCTTCATTATGTTTCCTGGGTTTGAGACCGTTGTTGAAGCCTCACATCTTGTTGAGGGTCTTCTTCTTTTTCACTGATCCTCTACTTTACGAAGCATGAAGTCCGTCCCCTTTGTTCTTGCTTCTAAGGAATGTTATGGCTATACTTATAAGACAGATTCATTCATTCTTCTGACACTCCATGGTATATTCTTTGCCAGCACTATAATTCAAAGGCATAAATTCTTCATTGGTCTTCTTTATTTATTGTCCAGATTTTGTACACTTATGAGAGTGAAAATACCATGGCTGGGTCAGTTGCAACTTATCCCTCAAACTGACATCATTGCTTTTAGATACTTTAAAGAAGTCTATAGCAGATTTGTCCATTACCTATGCCATTTGATTTCTTGACTGTTACTTCCATGAGCGTTCATTGTGGCTCCAAATAAAATTAAATCCTTGACAGTGTCAACATTTTCTCAGTGTGCAGTGCATTTGAAGTACTCAGCATAATAACTGGTCCACAATTTGCACTGAATAAATCCTGGCAAGCACTGGACTGCGAATCACAAGGTCAGCAGTTTGAGCCTATCAGCCACTCAGTGGGAAAAAAAAGATGAACACTTCTGCTTCTACAAGGATGTGCAGCCTTGTAAAGCCTTTATAAAGGGTTGCTATGAGTTAGAACTGACTTGACGACACACAGCAACAACAGCTGTGCTATTAGTATTTACTTGGAGCACAGATAATTAGTACTTGTTGGTAGCTGCCTTTGACTGAAGGAAACATCACCCAGTCCTACACCATTCTCACTCTCACTAGGCTGCTTGAGTCCACCTTTGTGGCTACTGTGCAAACCCACCTCACCTACAGTCTCTGTTAGCCTCACTGGCTCTCTATTTCTGACGGCGTGTCCAAAGCAAGCGAGTCATACAATGTACTGTTACGATATAACGTTTTCACTGGCTAATTTCCAGAAGGAGTTTGCCAGGCCTTTCTTCCAATCTGTCAGTCTGGAAGTTCTGCTGAAATCTGGCTACCACGGTTGGCTGTGCTGGTACTTGAAATACTGGTGACATAGCTTGCAGCACCACAGCCACACTCAAGCCACCACGGTACGATGAACAGATAGATGAGTGGTGGTGGTTATCATTAGGTTCTGTATAGTAGTACGGAGTTAACCTCAGTGAACTACAGTATCTAAATCTAAGCGCAAACAGACATAAACTTGTTTTTGTGTGAGGCTCACTTCATTTATTCAACGCAACTGGGAAAAATAGAGCACTTGGCAAAAGCCTGAAAACATGTGTTAAGAGAAAATAAAAGAGCGCTTGTTCAGGGATGTCTGAACAATTTTATGCAAATCTTTTCTGGCGCAGATGTAAATACGAGACAGCAAGAGTTGAGTAACTCAGAGCTCAATGTGCTTGTTCTGTGGGACTTGCAGGTGGATTTCCAGGGCCGTCCAGAGAAGCTGATCAGACTCAGGAATCCGTGGGGCAAAGTGGAGTGGACAGGAGCCTGGAGTGATGAGTAAGTAGGTCTTCCCCCCAGCCCCATGCTTCGTCTCTCCAGGAGGAAAGGTGTGATGTAAAACATTCAGTCATGCTGAGACCAATGTTACAGGGACTCAGCAACACTGTCTGCCCTCAGATTACTCACTGTGCTCAGAAAAGAGTAGCCCTTGGTTCCAGATGGGGGAGAGACAAAACAAAACCTTCTTAGTTGAAGTCTTTGATTCTGGATTTCAGCTTTGGCATTTGGAAGTCTGGCAGCTCACTTGAATTTTGCTTAGCCTGTCTCTTCCCTACCACATTGTGGTGATCCAAAGGTCAAATTGATCACTCACAATCAGATTCTTTCCACTTCACAAACCCTGGTCACTCTGACGAAGGCCAAATCTCTCAGCACTGAGTGCAAATGACACTTAGTAATGGAACCAGACCCAGGAACCTGTGGGCCACATTGGGATGATGAATGGGAGGGGAGCTCATTACTGGGGGCAGATATTGATCTCCCCTGACAAGGTCATTAGGAACTGGAGAGGTGCTTCTTGGACAGGTCTTTCTGCTGGTAAGAGGAAGCCACTCAAAGATGGTACCTGGACCCCACCTGAGGTATCCCGTGATGTCAGGGGCAAGAGGTGGTAAAGCATGGAGCTAGGGTGAAGGAGATGGATTGAAGCTGGGGAAGGAGTTAGAATCCTCCATTGTCATCAACAGAGAGCCACCAGAGATGCTAACCCCTCCCAATATACAAAGGTGGCACAACATTAAGTGCTCGGCTAACTAAAGGTTGGTGGTTCGAGTCTTGCTTACATAAAGAATTGTTATTGTTGTCATTATGTGTCGTGGAGTCAATTTCGATTCGTAGATACCCTGTATAGGATTTCTGAGGAGCAGTTGCTGGGTTTGAACTGCTGACCTTGTGGTTCACAGTCCAGTGCTGAACCTACAGCACCACACTGGGAGTTCAGCCTAGAAAACCCTATGAGGCAGTTCTAGTCCATCTTATAGGGTCACTTTGAGTCACAGCCGCCTTACTGGTACATGACAACATGTGTGTAAACCTTGAGTGCGTCTCTAGGACCCTAATGGCCACCCATCAGTACAGCTCCAACCTGTAATGTTTTCCCTCAGGTTTGCATCATGAGGAAACACATGTCCCTAGGACCATGTGTTGGCCCCCTATATTTTATTCCATTGTCTAAGATTGTGTGGTGCTGTAGGTTAGCCCTGGACTGCTAACCACAAAGTCAGTGATTTAAACCCATTAGCCACTCCAAGGAAACCTTGCACAGGGTCATTATATGTTGGAACAGACTTGATGGCAAAACAACAACAGGAGTCCTGGTGTGGAGCTGCGGGTTAATGCAATGCACTGCAAGGTCGGTTTGAATCTCAAGGTTGGTGGTTCAAGCTCCCCCGTCTTTCCTCAGAAGCCCTATATTGGGTCGCTATGAGCTGGAACCAACATGTCAGCACTAAACAACAACAACACCAACAAGATTGAAGAAAACCCCCAGCCTCAATTTTGCCAACTGCCCAAAACAGGTGACATGACTGAATGAAATTGAAACCCCAAGTTTTGACAACTTTAAGTAATAGCCATTTGTGGGGCTGCCAAAAGGACCTATTTGATTTTATCTCCTTTCTGGTGTCACCAGGTCTGTAATAGACGGGAAATGTCCAGCTGTAGGAGGGGCGGCCTAGGAGGCCAGGAGATCTATGAGCTTAGGGGTGGGGTATAGTGCAGGTGGGGGTGGTAACATTCCTAAGTTCAGTCTAATGTCTATTTACATTGTAATGCATTTCTTTTATTGTAATTTAAAAAAACCAATGGGGGAGACTTAAATCAGACCTAAAGTTCCCCAACTTGTTCTCTAATCTTTGTTTATAACAAGTATATTTTGTAATTCAGTTCTGATCAAATTAAAGTTTTAATGATTTAAAGAAGACCTGGAAATTCTTTTGCCTGATCCCCCCTGGGGAACTCAGAAGCCAAGAGGGAGAGAGAGACACACACACATACAGAGAGACATAGAGACACACAGAAACAGAGATTGGGTTAGTGTGTATCTCAGTTTTTATGCAGGGGAGCAAACGTTTCCTGGTTTTGCTGAAAGTATTCAAAAGAAAAGGTATTTTTAAATGGATCTTGATGTTGTTGCTGTAGTTAAGTGCCTTCGAGTCAATTCCGACCCATAGCGACCTCTATAGGGTTTCCAAGGAGCAGCTGGTGAGCTTGAACAACCAACCTGGCAGTTCAAGTGACTTTACAGTCTGACACATTAGCCCACAGTGCTACACCAGGACTCCAATGCATCTTGATACTGCACGGTTATTTAGACATTGCGTGCTTCAGGAAAACCTAAATTGTAGAGATCAGGTAACTAGAGGTGTGTGGAGGGAGTGGGCACTGAGTGGCAGGAGGCCTCTGGGATGATATTACTTCAGGGAAATGGCCAGAAAACTGGTCCTGATTATCATTCTTGCAGACTCAGAAAGTGGACCCTATCCACACACTCAGGGATGTTCAGCTCACAGTATGCTCATTCAGGCAGATAACAAGGCCACAATGACAGTTTATTAATTGATTCTGGTGTGCCTCCCTTTCTTGTGACAGGAATTTCCCCAGTCCTGGTCTTGAGCATTCCCATTCCTGTTATCAAGGGCCTGGGAGTCTTAATAAGAAATGTCAAGTTTGCCTAAATAAAACCCAGTTGCTGTCGAATCAACCACAAGTCATAGTGACCATGTGACAGAATGGAACTGGGCTGCAGAGGCCTTTGTTTCTTTCTTTTTAAAAAATAATTATTTGCTGTCTTTTGAGAATATGCACAGCCAAATACACACCAATTGAACTGCTTCTGTGTACAGTTCAGTGACATGGATTACATTCTTTAAGTTGTTCATCCATGCCCACCCTCCTTTTTGGAATTGCTCCTCCCTCTATTCTTTTGATCCTCTCTGATCTTTTGAGTTGCTGTTATCAACTTGGTCCCATATAGATAGATGTTAGAAGAGCATAATGACAAGCATTCTTTACGAGTTCAGCTAAACAATTGTTTGGTTTTTAGAAGACTTCAGGGGGGTATTTTTGGTTTCAGGTTTAAAAATGACCTCAGGACAATAGTTTTGGGGATTTATCCAGCAACCGTGACTCTAGAAAAGAAGTTAAACTTCTGTTCTGCATTTCCTGTCTGCATACAGTTTTCAGTGACTGATTTGCCGGAATTAGATTACAGGCTTTTCTTTTGAGTGCCTCTGGGTAGATTTGAACTGCCAGCTTTTTAGTTAGCAGTGGGCACACTGACCATTATAGCAAGGCCAGTGGCCTTAGTGTTTGTGCTGCGTGCCAGCCCCCTGTTGCCCACCCAGAGAGTCCATGATCCCAGTCTATGTCCCTTCCCTAGACTTCGTATCCCCGCACACTATCTTCCTGCCTTCCTTCAGGAAAGTCAGCTGCAGTAAACACCTACCTCTGTTCTGTTTTCTTTTCAGTGCACCGGAGTGGAACTACATAGACCCCAGGCGGAAGGAAGAACTGGACAAGAACGCTGAAGATGGGGAGTTTTGGTGAGCGTGTTGTCTCCAGAGAGCTGTCCTGTTAGCTGTAGGTCCATTCCAGGTTCTCATGTTGGGGCACGGTATTGCTAATTGTTCCAGGAGTGTGACAAGCTTTCTCACCAAGGGGGGCTTCATTTTTCTCCCCTTTTTGCCCTTGTCTAATTCAACCTCTATAGCACTGTGTCTTAATATTGAAGCCAAGATATCTGGGCCCTCAATATGAATGAACCATCAGTCTGTCTTCCTCACTTTCTGTGTCTTTCCTACGAAATATGATGAATGCTGCTCTCTTTAAGGTCCAGAGTGCTCTAAGTTTAGCTGATCATTGAAATAGAACTGCTTTCACCCCATGGGTGTAGTGTGACTGTGAACTAGGGGCATCTTCATGTGGACATCACTAAGAATTAAGTAGGGGCTGCTGGTGGGAATGTAAAATGGTACCACACCAGCCCTCCAGAACCATCATGGTGGAGGTGGTGGAGGTGTGCCGTGGAGTCGGTTCCAACTCATAGTGACCCTGCATAGGGTTTCCAAGGTTGCAAATCTTTACTGGGGCAGAAAGCCTCATCTTTCTCCTGAGGAACAGCTGGTAGTTTCAAACTGCTGACCTTGAGGTTCACAGCCTGATTCGTAACCACTATGCTACCAGAGCTCCTTAGATATGACCCAGCAATACCACTCTTAGATATACACCCTCCAGAAAATGAAAACAGGGACACAAACAGATAGTTGTACACCAATGTTCATTGCTGCACTTGTCACAATTGCTCAAAGATAGAAATCATGCAAGTGCCATGAAAGATGAGTGGATAAACAAAATGTGACATATCCAGACAATGGGATATTAACTAGTCACAAAGAGAAATCAAGTCCCGACATATAGATTGACATGGATGGATCTTAAAAACATTTTGCTGAGTAAAATGAGTCAGTCACAAGAGGATGAATACTGTATGATCCCACTTATGAAACGTCTAGAAATAGGTAAATCCATTGAGACAAAAGAAACATTGTGGATACTGGTGATAGGAGTGGTTTCCATGGGGCCAAAGGGAAATGAGAAGTTAAAACAAAAAGGTGCTAACAACAGTAAAAACAACAAATAACTAAATAGGAACAAACTTCTTGTGGGTTTAAATGAAGGTAGGGACTTTGATCAGATGACCTTCTGGATTGTCTTCCGGATTAAGGTTCAGTCAGACTCTTTGCATGGCTGGTTAGGTATATGATGATATCTGGTAGGATTGAGAAGCTTACAGTGTACAGGAGTTGGTCAATGGTCTCTCTATATTTGTATTTGAGGACTGTAAACAGGTTCCCAGTTAGCTCACCTCAAAGGAGTCCTTTGATTTCTCTGTCCCCAGGATGTCTTTTTCAGATTTCTTGAAGCAATTCTCTCGATTGGAGATCTGCAACCTGTCTCCGGATTCGCTGACCAGTGAAGAAGTGCACAAGTGGAACCTGACTCTATTCAACGGCCGCTGGACGCGGGGTTCCACCGCCGGGGGCTGCCAGAACTACCCAGGTAAAGTGAAGAGCCCACCTGGTCCCATGGTTCCTTGTCCTCCCAAACTGCCTTTGGACTTTGCTCTCTGGCTCATGAGCACCCCCTGGTGGCACTGCTATGCTCCTGGGCTTGAAGGCCTGGTTAGCAGTGGCGGATAGTGGTTGTGCAGGCCTGCATCTGAGACTTGATCTCATAGTGCCATTCTTCAATTTCTGTGTGCTCACCTACCTGCCCGGAAGGACGAGCTTCTTGCTACTAACCATGCTCTTTCCTCCCTTTTGTTCTTCTCTTGGGCTTCCATCATCTCAGACCAAGTGGCTGGAGACCCCATGCCACTGAGTCTGGGACAGTGTCTAATGGTGTGATAGAGGGATGTGATGCAGCATCTGCTGTATCCACAAGACTGCGTGGATGAGAGCAACCACTCTGCTTTGTATTTGTGCCTGGGTCACAGGTGGAGGAGTGTGACTGCAGATGGGGCATTTCAGGGAGCCATTGGAAGCTGGTAGAGATGGTGTGGTGCAAACTTCTGCCTCGGCACTAACCATAGGCCTCATCTTACTAGCAGGGGGAGCCTTTCCCAGTTCACAGCCATCATTAACACCCATACAGCCTCCTCCTAGGTGGAATCAACTGAGGCAACTCCTGATGAAGAAACCTCGAAAATCCACCTCACCTCCCTAAGGAGAAAGGAAGGAAAGCAAATCCAACTCTCTCTACTTTTCACCTCTGGCTCCCACTCCCCCTCCCCAGTCTGATGTTGACTGATGTTGGGTGAGAGACTTATAAGCACCCAGGACCATTTCAGGGCTATGCCCAGAGCTATTGGAGTAACGTTATAACAGCCTCACATGGGTATAATCCTGAGGTCTTGGCAAGTTTCCTCCTCCCTCCCCCATCCAATCCAAAGCATCCGTTTCTAGCAGCAGAGACAAGTGCTGAGTAAGAGTTAGCGGCCAAGTTTGGTTCTTGTGCTTATTGTGTAGCTTAGGGAGCCTGGGGGTGTCCTCTCTCTCTTCTGAGGCTCAATTTCCCCATCCTCAAAATGGGATGATGAGCCCCACCTTGTAACCTCACTGGATCACCATTAAGAACTGTAACATGAAACAGTTAGAGGACAGTGCTTTGTAAATTGTGTAAACCAGAAACCAACCTCACACCCACTGCTGCTAAGTCCATTCTGACTCATAGCCCCCATTGTACAAATACTAGTAAATGGGAAGTGTTATTGTTATGGTCCATTCTCTTCCTCCAGCTCTGTTAAAGAGCAAACAAAAAATGTAGGGATTGCAGTAATGTTGCATTTGGGAGAAATTAAAATATGCTCACCATTAGTACTTCTCAGAAATGCATAGGAAATTTGCATGGATCATTTTGGGAGCTTGGAGCTGCAGGGGGTGCCCAAGGTAACTGTATTCAGCAAATTCCCACTCATCCGTGCTGCTAATTAGCTGTCAGGAAGAGATGGACTGCTTTTGCCCCTTGGTAATGATGTAAGTATGGACCCTTACAGAATTTTCTCTGTCTTCTCTGGAATCTACAAATATTTGGCTTTATATACACTTGTGCCCCAAATAAAAAAATCTAGATGCATGGATTATGGAAAGGTAGGAATGAGTAAGTGATTTCATTGTTAAGAATCTATAAACTGTGGCTCTTGTTCACCTGTGAATATCTTGTTATTTCATCTAGTCAAAGCCTATTTTAGAGGAGCTGAGGGAAACACCCTTCTCTTCCCCCAACTCCTCTCTCTCTTCTGGTCACATCATTATTGAAATTGTTGAGGCTTGTCTTCTTCAATTACACTCTGCTGTCCGGTTCCTGTCACAGAATTGCTGTGTGCCCTTGGGTAATCCATTTGACCTCTCTGTGGCTTAGCTCGTGTAGTCACTGCTTTGAGAGATGAAAAAAAAAATCTTGGAAAGAAAGTAGTCATTAAATACTCATAGGTGGTGTGGCAGGGATGCATCTTAATCATCAATTATTATTTATTACTCTCGAAGAGTGTCTCATCTGTGGACATTAACACTGAAGCCATCACATAAGACTACAGAGCCATGGGGGTCTGCAATCTGAAGCCGGCCCTCCCTAGGGGAAAACACATGTCAATCCGGCTGGCTGTCTTTTAACCCGTCAGGCACTGGTAGCTAGTCTCCTCTGGGACTTTGTCCACATTTGTCCCACGGCCCTGTTTTTGACTCAGAGATGGGTTTATCTTCACAGACCAGAGAACTGAGACCAGGGAACTGCAAACAAGTAGATGTTAACAGTTTTCCAAGCAGACACAAAGGTTCCTTCCCAGTGGTGTGCAGCAAAGTCCTGGGATCATGGCACCTTGAGCATTCCCAATCAACCATCCCTAGTCTTCTGCTCAATCAAATGGAAGTGCAAAAATTCCAAATGCTATGGGGTGTTTCTGTGTGTATGTCAGGAAAGTAGGAGGGAATGCCTGGTCACCATGTAAACAAAATTTTCTGAGGACTGCTCACTAGATACTGCTTGCCTAACCAGTAGGTGCCTGTTGATGTTGTTAAGTGCCATTGAGTTGATTCCGATCATAGCTACCCTGTATAGGGTTTCTGAGGAGCAGCTGGTGAGTTTGAACCAACAAGCTTATAGTTCAAACAGACACAGTAGTCCAGTGCTTATCCTACTGCACCTCACCAGGACAAATGTCTTGCATTCAACTACTAACCTAAAGGCTGGTGGTTGACCTGTTGTGGAGTTGATTTTGACTCATGGTAATGCATGTTTGTTAGAATATATCTGTGCTCCCAGAGGGTTTTCAATAGCTGCTTTTTCAGAATGTAAAGTCAGGTCTTTCTTCTAGGCACCACTGAGTGGACTCAAACTTCCAACCTTTCAGTTACAGCTGGGTACATTAACCACATACAGCATGCAGACACTCCTATAGTTTGCTAGTAGTTATGTTTTCATTGGGATGACCAGCATTCTCCCCTTTCATTTTATTCTTCCAATGTCTTCACCCCTTTGGGGGAACCACTGCCACCCGGCTGACTTCCAGCCACCTACTGGACCAATCCCCAGTTCAAAATCCGTTTGGATGAAGTGGACGACAGTCATGAGGAGAGCACCAGGGAACACTGCTGCACGGTGCTGCTCGGCCTGATGCAGAAAAATCGCAGGCGGCAGAAGCGGATAGGACAGGATATGCTGACCATCGGCTATGCGGTCTACCAGGTACCCCAGAGCTGGGCTCATCTTTTATTGCATGCTTGACACTTTGATCTGAAGATTTTCTTCAATAATTGGAGTTCATGTTTTCTATTGCTTGGATAGTCCTAACTCATCAAGCATTCTTCGTGCTCCTCTAAACAAGTCTTCCAGTGACTGTACTGAGATCTGAATTTCACCATTCGAGATTCATCCCTATGGTTTAAGTCTTTTCTACTATTAACACTAAGGCATATAAATCATTGAATTTTGTCTATTGGATCTCAGTACACTCCACTGCCGCTTGGTTGATTCTGGTTCTTAGTTACTCTACAGATAAGATTTCCCCAAATCTAGGGCTTTCATGGGGTGGGAGCCAAGGACTTGGGGGCATAGGCACTTGAGGGGACACAAAGAGGAGGGACATATGTGAATGGGAGAAGAGACGCTGGGCATGGAAGCTGTTATGTATTGAATTGTGTTTTCCTCTTCTCCTCCCAAAATATGTGTCCACTTGGCTGGGCCAGCGATCTCAGTATTGTATAATTAACCTCCATTTTGTGATCTGGTGTAATTATCCTGTGTGTCATAATTCCTAGCTTCTATGTTGCTAACCAGGCAGGATTAGAGGTAGTTATGCTGGTGAGTCAGAATATAATCTATAGGATCAAGGGATTGAATAAATGAATTGAGAGGAGAGGGAACTCAGCACCACTTAGAAAGAAGAGCTATGAGTGGAGCTTGTTGTTTGGACCCAGTGTCCCTGTGCTGGGAACCTTCTAGACTCAGGGGAAGCTTGATCCCAAAACACATGAAGATCTGCAAGGAACACCAGGCCCACAGGAATTGAAAGGAGACAAGGACCTTCCTCCTAAACTGTGAGCCAACGGACAGAGAAATCTTTCCGCTGAAGCCAGTGTCTTGAATTGGGACTCCTAGCCTTCTAAACTGTTAGGGAATAAATTTGTTTGTTAAAGCCACTGACTTGTGGTATTTCTGCTATAGCAGCACTAGATAAGACAGGAGACAAAGACAAACACCTCCTTCCTCTCACCTGGGCAACTGTGAGGCACTTGTTGGGAGCACAGGGCTTAGGGTGAGGTGAGGGAAGCCTCACCACCATTTCTAGCTTAGGTGCCTCTTGATCTGGAAAGAGAAGCTGACTATGATTTTAGGCTGTAGTCCATAACTCAGTAGTCCAATGTGTGGATTCATAGTCTCAGAGATATGCTAACTTGTGACCTTTGGGTCTTGACAAGCCTCACCAGGAACAAATTAGGTCAACTTTCCACATTTTTATACAGCTAAAAACTCCTTATAATGAATTCCAGAGAGATTCATAGTGATGGGTTTTATAAAATTTTGTTAAAATAACATTCTAGGGAAACAATACCACTCTAATCAGGAAGATACAATATATGGTATAGAGCTGGCTGTAGACTCAAGAAACACATAAATTAAGGCATGGAAAAGAAGTATTGTAATTATAAACCATTAAGAAAGTGGGATTATCAATTGGTCTCCTGCTTCATCAAATGGAAGTGCGAAAAAAAAGGTATAATATGTCTCCAGTCCAGTTGCTTTTCTCTTGTTCTGGAACTCAGGACTCTAGATTTTAGCATATGTGTGTTTTAGGTTGAAAGAATGAAAGTTAGAAAACAATTATTACTTGATGGCAGGACATGATATCAACTCCAACTCTACTCTATCTTAGCTCTTCCGTCCTACCTAGAAGGTAAACAGCACAAAAACAGATTCTTTGCTTATAGGTGAAGAGCCTGAGGAAGCACTTGACGTATACAGATGAGTCCAATCAGTTTCAGTGAGTTAAAAGCTGTGGACACAGAGAAGAGTGTCACATGGCTTCTAGCATCACGGTGCTCACACTCTAGAGTGGGAATGAGACACAACAGCCTTGTAGCTAGGTCATTGCGCTGTGATGGGAGTCACATGATGGGCTAGCGCCCTATGGACAGCATTCAGGCCTTCAAGAACTACTCACACTCCATTCACAGTGTCCATCAAGCTGACTTTATAAAACTTGGTCAGCGAAGCCTTCTGTCAGAGGCACATAAGCTAATACACTGAAATAGCTTTGACATGACATTGCTCTAATAGACAATTTATAAATCATGTCAGAGTTTCCTATAAGCTTTACTTCATCCACATCATTAAGGACTTTATTTCTAGGAGGTAGCTCTTCCTAAGTTGTGTTTTGAGTACCTACCAATGTGTACGGCCCATCTTCCAGTACTAGGTCAGATAATGTTCAGCTGTTATTCCTAAAGTTTTTTCGCTGGTACTTTTTTTTCAGCAGGAGATTGCTAGGTACTTCTGCCTAGTCTGTCTTAGTCTGGAAGCTGTGCTGAAGCCTGTCCACCAGGGTGACTCTGCTGGTTTTTCAGTTACAGGGGGGAGGGGCGGGGCATAGCTTTCAACATTACAGCAACATGCAAGCCACCACAGTCCAACTAATTGACAACAGAGTGGATCTTAATGATGTGGATGGAGCAAAGCTTCCAGGACCTTCATTTACTGATGTGACACAATTAAAAATGAGAAGAAAGAGCTGCAGACATTAGTAATCAGAACACAGAAAGTATGAAGCATGAATCTAGAAAAATTGGAAGTTGTCAAAAAAGAAATAGAATACTTGGGGATAGATATCCTAGACATTATGAGCTGAAATAGACTGGTATTGGTCATTTTGAATTGGAAAATCATATGGTCTGCTATGCCAGGAATGGCAAATTGAATAGTACTGCATTCATTGTCAAAAAGAATATTTCAAGATCCATCCTAAAGTACAATGCTGTCATTGATGATCATATCCATATGCTTACAAGGAAGGCATGTTAATATGCTTATTGTTCAAAGTTATGCACTGACCACTAATGCCAAACAAAGATGAAGAAATTGAATACTTTTACCAACTTCTGCAGTCTGAAATTGATCAAACATGCAATCAAGATCTATTGATAAATACTGGTGATTGGAATGTAAATTTTGGAAACAAGAATCACAAAGGCAAATATGGCCTTCATGATACAAATGCCAGAGACTGAATGATGGAATTTTGCAAGACCAATGGTCTATTCACTGGAAATTCTCTTTTTCAACAACATAAACGGCTACTATATACGTAGGCTTCACCATATGGAATTCACAGAATTAAATTGATTACATCTATGGAAAAAGACTATGGAGAAGCTCAACATTATCAGATAGAACAGATCACTGATTGCTCATATGCAAATTCAAGTTGCAGCTGAAGAAAATTAAAACAAGTCCATGAGAGACAAAGTACAATCTTGAGTATGTATATATATTAAGTGCCATCAAATTGGTTCCAACTCATAGTGACCCTGTATAGGGTTTCCAAGGAGTGACCGGCGAGTTTGAACTGTTGACTTTGTGCTTTATCCCACAGCACCAGCAGGACTCTAACCTTGAGTATGTCCTACCTGAATTTAGAGACCATCTCAAAATTAGATTTGATGCACTCAACACTAATGGCCTAAGACCAGATGAACTGTGAAATACCATCAAGAGCATCATACATGAAGAAAGTAAAAAGTCATTAAAAAGACAAGAAAGAGAAAATATCAAAATGGATGTCAGAAAGGACTCTGGAGCCTGCTGTTGAACATAGAGTAGCTAAAACAAAAAGAAGAAATGATGAAGTAAAAGAGTTCAATAGAAGATTTAGAAGGGCAGATCAAAAACAAAAAGTGTTACAATGTAATATGCAAAGAGTTTCACTTAGAAAATCCAAAGGGAAAAATACACTCAATTTTCTCAAGCTGGAAGAACTGAAGAATAAATTCAAGCCTCAAGCTGCAATATTGAAAGATTTTATAGACAATATATTAAATGATGAAGAAAACATCAAAAGAAGAAAGAGATACACAAAATCACTGTGTCAAAAAGAATTGTCCAACTTCAAGACATGAAGGCATTGGCAAAAAAATGAGACTCCAGGAATTGATGGGACACCAACTGAAATGTTTTAACAAACTGATGCAGTGTTGGAGGCACTCACTAGTCTATGCCAAGATATTTGGAAGACATCTGGCCAACTGATAGGAAGACATTCATATTTGTGCCCATTCCAAATAAAGTTGACTTAACAGAATGCAGAAATTATCAAACAATATTACTAGTATCTGTCTTTCTCCAGGGACAAGTAAAATGCAAGTAAAATTTGCTGAAGATAAAAGTAGTTGTAGCAATACATCGACAGGGAACTGCCAGAAATTCAAGCCAGATATAGAATGAGGGATATCATTGTTGATGTCAGGTGTTTTGACTGAAAGCAAAGAGTACCAGAAAGATGTTTACCTGTATTTTACTGACTACACAAAAACATTCAACCATGTGAATGACAACTTGATAACATGGTCAAGAATGGGAATTCCAGAGATTTGATTGTGATCATGAGGAACCTATATATAGACCAAGAGGCAGTCCTTTGAACAGAACAAGGGGATACTGTGTAGTTTAAAATTAGGAAAAGTGTGTGTCAGGCTTGTAACCTTTCACCACACTTATTCAATCAATATGCTGACCAAATAATGTGAGAAGCTGGACAATATGAAGAAGAATGTGGAATCAGGATTGAAGGAAGACTTCATCAATAAGTACTTCAAGTGAAGAAAACTGAAAGCAACTATTGATGAAGATAAAAGACTACAGTCTTCAGTATGAATTACACCTCAACATGAAGAAACCAAAGGTTCTCACAACTGGGCCACTAAGCAACATGATAAATGGGAACAATATTGAGGTTGAAAGGGTTTAGTGTATTTGGATCCACAAGCAACTCCCATGGAAGCAGCAGTCAAGAAATCAAATACAGTATTGCATTGGGGAAATCTACTGCAAAAGGCCTTGTCAAAGTGTTTTTAAGCAAACATGTCACTTTGAGGACTAAAGTGTGCCTGACTCAAGTCATGGTATTTTCAATTGCCTTACATGCATGGGCAATCTGGACAATGAATAAAGAAGACCAAAGGAGAATTAATGCC